ATATATATATATATATATATAGAGAGAGAGAGAGAGAGAGAGAGAGAGAGAGAGAGACTTGCGATAACTGAAGCAGTGGAAAGTGAAACCGCAGATAAGGGGGAATAACTACATGAATATGACTGAGTTTCCGTGAGCCAAAAGGGCCTCACCTAATCCTTAGATCCACCACTGGATTCTGAGCCCACGTGTCTGACTCCAGACTCAGCCCATGCTGGTCCCTGGCGCCCGTCACTAACAGATCCCCTTTGCCTATTCCCACAGCTATATGACATGTATTCTGGAATCATGCAATATTTGCCAGGAAGACACAATCGCATCTACTACTTGTTAGAGGAGCTCAAGGACTTCATTGCCTCCAGGGTCAAGATCAATGAAGCATCTTTTGATCCCCAAAACCCTCGTGACTTCATTGACTGCTTCCTCATCAAGATGCACCAAGTACCTCCTTCCCTTCCCCCAACCCTTTCATCTCCCTCAATCTCTAGTACCTGCAACTTTAAACACTTCTGCAAATGTTGAGCACAAAAGAACAAATATTATATCACATGGTTTCCTTTTATCTCTAGATTATATATAGGAATTATAAAAAGTACACTCTCTGACACCTTTTTTTTTCCTGTGATGCATGACCCAGTGACAGCACCTCCTCCATAATAGGTGCTACATTCACTGGGCCTCCTGTTTTGTTTATGCAGTGACTGGCTTTCCTACAAAATGGATGTCCCTGTAACTAGTCCCCCTTTGTGATGAATTTTCCACTAATTAAACCTCCTCCATAATTGGTGTCTCAGTGACTAGCCCTCCTCTATCATGGGTGCCCCAGTGACTGGTCTTCCCCTGTGAAAAATGCCCCAGTGACTGATTCTCCTCACTGTTAGGTGCTCCAGTGACTAGCTTTCCTCTGTGATTGCTGCCCCAGTGACTGGGACTCCAAAATAATGGGTGCCTCAGTGACTGACCCTCCTCCATTATGGATGCCCCAGTGACTGTACTTCCTCAGTGATTTGTGCCCAAGTCACTCGCCCTCTTCTGTTATGGGATCCCAACTGACTACCCCTCCTCTGTGTTAATTGCTTCTGTGATTGGCCCTCATCTGTGATGGGTGTTCTGATGACTGGCTCTCTTCTGTGACAGCTGTCCCAGTCACTTGTCCCCCTGTGTGATGGGTGTCTCAGTGACTGGCTTTCCTCTGTGAAGGGTGTTCAAGTGACTGGTTGTCCTCTGAGATCTCTGAACACCTTTAAATGATACTTTGAATCTACAAATTTTCGGAACATGGAAACTTAAAATCCTACACTTTTAATCTTATATGACAGAGACTTACAACTGTAATCTTTAGAGTCTTAGAATTTGAAAAACTTAGAAGTTTGAAGTCTTTAAACTTAAGAGTTTAAACTTAAAAGTTTAATGTCTTACAGGTGTAGAAATTTAGAAGCTTAATGTTTCTGTAGCATCAGTTCCTAGAGTTTTATACATTTATATTTTTACATTATGGGGCCTTATCATTTGGAAGTTTAAAATTGTACACTCTAGTGTCCAAAAATGTTCAAATCTTACCAGGCTCTCCACTTTCTTCTCCTTCCATTCTCCCTGCTATTCAGTCCTCTCCAACCACACTGGCCTCTTTCTTGCTGTTTCTTGACACACCAGGCATGGTCCTACCCCAGGACCTTTGCCCTGATTATTTTGTCTCCCGGACACCCACTTGCTTTATCCCCTTATTGTCTCCCTGGACACAGGGAGAAAATATGAAAATAAAGACAGAAGAGGATGGTTCTGTTTACTGTCCCCCTCACTTTCAGGATAAAAACAATCTCCACACGGAATTCAACCTCAAGAACTTGGTCCTCACCACTCTGAACCTCTTCTTTGCGGGCACAGAGACTGTGAGCTCTACACTACGCTATGGATTCTTGCTGATAATGAAGCATCCTGAGGTGGAAGGTGCGTGTCCACCCTAAAATGGGTACCTCTCACTCCCAACAGAAGAAAGACTCTTGAAAACTTAGAATGAATCCCATAGTCTTAGACTTTTCACCCTTTAGAGCCTCAGGACATGAAATCTTGAATTCTCTGGCTTAGGAGGCCATTTAATTTAATCTACTTAGTGTGTGTATTTGTTTCCTATAAGCTTAGTAGTTTAAGACAACACAGATTTATTATCTTTCAGATCAGGAGTTCAGAAATTCCAACAGGCTTTCACTAGGCTGAATCCAAGATAGAATCTGATGCCATGCCTTTTCCAGTTCTTAGGAATGCAGTCCTTGCCTCCCTGGAATCATGACCCTTTCTTCCATCTTCAAAGTCAACAGCCTAGCAAACATCTCTTTGCTTCTACTGTCACATCCTTTTAAACTCTAATCCTCCCGCTTCTCTATTATACAAACACACATGATTATATTTAGGGCCAATCTGGATGATCCAAGATAATTTCTTCATCTCAAAATCTTTAATTTATTGGCATCTGCAAGGTCCCCTTTGTCCTTCTGTCATCTTTATGTACATAATCCCTTTTCTTAGGATTAGAAGGTTTCAGGGATTAGGAGTCAGATATCTCTGATGGCCAATATTTAGCCTACTACACTACCAAAGACAAATGGATTCCATCTCCCATAAATTAAAATCTTGTCTGGCTGGGTAACTCCGATTATGAGAAACTCATTTCCTAAGGAAAATCCCCAGTTACGGTCCCTCTTCCTACTAATTTCTCCTGGTACAGAGGATGAGTAACACTCACCTGATTCCACTCCAGTGTTCCTAATCTGACCACCATTGTCTGAGTTGCCTTTTATTGAGCTAAATAATCAAGTATTTACTGGACACCTTCAATATGCCAAGCACTGCCCTAGTGACTTGCATACTGGACTTTATGTAATGTTCACAACTCTGTGACCCTGTCAGGCCATCACACTTATTTTAAAGATGAAACAGAGGCTCAAAAGGAGACGTTATTGGCTCCAATAAAGTGCAGAGAGAGGTAACTCTACTAATGATTATCGTAATCACTAGCACACAACTGCTTGTCATTTGTTTCAGTCCTGTCCTAGTTACCTAGCATGCCTCTTTCTCATTTTGTCCAAAATCTGTGCATAAAAGCCCAACTAGTACCAGGACACTACCCTTATCTTCAGCCTTCCATGGCTCCTTGGTACTTTCAAGTAAAGACCAAAGCTCAGAGCTAGTGTTCAGGCCTCCAGGCTGTGTGCCTCCTGATGTCTGATAAGTATGTGTTGAGCACCACCAATGTGTCAGTTGTTAAATACAAAGAAGCAGTCCAAATACGCCTGGCCTGAACCTCAGAGCTCACTTTCTGCTGGAGATAGGAATGCATGACCTGCCCTGGTTTTGCTAACAAAAACACCTCCTGTTCACTCCTGTGTCCTTTTCTGCTATATTTTCTGCTTGTTTCCAGCTAAGATTTATGAAGAGATTAACCAGGTGATTGGACCACACCGGCTCCCAAGTGTGGATGACCGGGTCAAGATGCCCTACACAGATGCCGTGATCCATGAGATACAGAGACTGACAGACATCGTGCCTATGGGTATCCCCCACAATGTCATCCGAGACACTCATTTCCGAGGCTACCTTCTGCCTAAGGTAGGGTTGAACTCTCATGGTTGACCATTTATCGTGCACTGAATCCCTCTCTCCACCTGGCTCCTTACCCTCATTATCCAACAATAAGTTGTCCTGACTCTCCCCATTTCCACCCCAGGGCACAGATGTGTTTCCCCTGCTTGGCTCAGTCCTCAAAGACCCCAAATACTTCCGCTACCCAGATGCCTTCTATCCCCAACACTTCCTGGATGAGCAGGGCCACTTCAAGAAGAACGAAGCCTTTGTGCCTTTTTCCTCTGGTAGGTTTCTGTGGTCTGACTTTCCCCAGATGCATGCTAGATTAACCCCCAGCCACTGATCTGTATTTGAAATTCAAGTCAAAATGGAAAGTTGAAGGTTATATTATAGAATCATAAAATTCCAGAAATCCAGGCTCAGGGAATATTAGAATCATTGACTGTGATAATTAGAAAAAAATGTTAGAACAATAATAGCACTAAACAGGAGGTCAGCAAACCTTCTGTTGAGGACCAAATAAAAAATATTTTCAGTTTTTCCAGACATATGGTCCCTGTCTGAACTATTCATCTTTGCCTTTGTACTACAAAAGCAGCCCTAGACAACATGTAAATGAATGAGCATGTGTGTGAGCCCCAAAAGCTTTATCTGTGGACACTGAAATTTAAATTTCATTCAAGTCTCACATATCACAAAATACTACTCTGCCTTTTTTTCAAACATTTATTTTATTTTATTGTAAAGATGTGGAGTAAAAGTTAGGATTAGGTACATAATTAGTTTATGTGCAGATGAGGTTTAGGCCCCCAGCTGGTCCCCACTTCCCCTGGCTTAGGGTCAGGTACCCTTAATATCATTACATGTCCCCTCCCCTCAATCCTTCCCTGGGCAGTATCCCACTACTGCGAATTCCCCTCTTATAGTATTATGATAAATGTTCAGGACCCACTTATGAGTGAGAACATGTGGTATTCATTTCTTTGTTTCTGTGAGAGATCACTAAGTATGATGGACTCTAAACCCATCCAAGATGCTGCAAAGTTCATAATTTTGTCCTTTATGGCTGTGTAGTACTCCAAAAAGCATTCCTGGCTTGCAGGCTACATGAAAACAAGCATCAGGGCAGATTTTCCCAACAGACAGTCGTTTTCCTACCCATGGCATAAAATCTTTGTGTAAATCTTTTTTTAAATTTCCTATTTTAAATATATGGGCTACAATTCAGGGTTAGGTATACAGATGTTCATTATGCTGGTACCCTTGTTGAGATATGCCCATC